TCTGTTCCTATCTCTTTGTAGTCTTCTTGCCTTAACCTGTTCCCTTGTTCTRATGTTTGGGACAAGTTCACTCTTTTAACTCTTGGCAACTTCTTCCTTTGCGTGGCAGGGTAATGAGGAGGTTACTGAGAGCTTGGGAGGGGTGATCTCCCTCTCAAATGTGCTCTGTTTTGCTCTGGGGAAAAAAAAAAAAGGCTTATATTTTGTTAAGAGAAGTGTTTTATACAACCCCAGTCAGATTCAAATCATACTGCAAAGGCCAAACCTCTTAACCTGTCTGAATATTTCAGAATTCTCTCTCAAGGTTTCTGAAGATTTACTGCAATTACTTGGTCCTTCACATTTCTAATATCATGGGAAGCCCCTCAGGAAAACGACTTCTTTATAACATCTTCAGTTGTGAGGTTGCTTTATTTGCTACATTAAACATTTACAGCCCACTGTCTAATCTTCCCAACGCCCTGAGGTATGTCAAACTCGGAATGAGTTTTCCTGGCATTCACATCTACTTTAATGATATGTCTCAAGGCTGTTTTGTTTGGGATTTGAGTGGGTTAATCATGGTCTTTAGATCACGAATTGAATCCTTTCGTAACAATAAATAGGGAAGTTAATTGAATTTTATTTTTTCTTGATGGTGTAATATGCACTATATTCAGGCTCCTTCAATTTGTGTCTGCAGTACCATTAAAGAGCTCCCTAGCTTTAGGTATTGAACACAATAGACAGTTAATAGGTAGAAGATCTCTTCCTTGTTTATAACTTTCATAGCTAATTTTGAGAGGACTTTGGAAATCACTAATAATCTTGCAGTCAATTGGAACATCATGATAGCTGTATTGCTGCACCTAGCCCACTCTCTGCCTGCTGATACTTGATTTCAATGAGTGTTGCTAAGGGCAGAAAGCTTTCTGCAGTACTCGTTCACAATATGAAGCAACTGTCTGCCTGTATAACCTCTTGGGGTTCTTATACTGCTGCTCATCACTGTAATTTTAGAGTCCAAATCCGCAGCTCCCCAGACAAATTTCTTTTCCTCACTCRGGGAGCACAAAGAACCTGGGAGATGGATACAAGCATCCAGAAGAGTAGATTCCTTTGGAGAAAAAATAATCAGTACTTGAATGCTGCAGCTTGGTCCTGAGCTGAGACTCTTCCTTGTTTTTGGCATTTTTCCAAGTGTGGGTATATCTGTATAGTAGATATACAGCTACAGTGAATATACAGATACAGTAGGTATAGTAAAATATGTATAGATAGTATGCGTGTGTATATGGGAGAGCTGCATGGCAGTGCCTGGGGTGTTAATGTGTGCAAGGCTTTAACCCATATTCTCCTGTCTCTTGACTGAAYATGTCTAGGAACCCCTTCATCCTGCAGCACCATTCTGTACCATCCAGCTTTTCATCTATACAGGGCTACTCAGAAAAGGAAGAAGTTTCTTTATTCAGGTATGAAGATGCCTGAATAAAAGTGTCCACAATGGTATTTTTTTGCCTTGCATAGTATACACACTGACTTTCTCACAAATTTGCCCTAAGTTAACCAAATTTGCCCCCATTGCATGGTATTGCCCTGTGCTTAGAGCAAGCAACTGTCCACTCATTTCAATGCCATTATCAGTTCATAAATACTTGCTTTTGTTTTCAAGCAGCATTCACTGTGAAGCATTTTGAAAGACTTGGCTGCATGGTACATTATGAGTGCTTGTTGTGGTTTATAATTTGAATGAGAGCTGGCATTTTGATTGCCAAAGGTCAAGTGGGTCCCAAAAAATGTGGTAGAAGACACTTCAACATACATCATAGTGTTATCCAAAAGTAATGTAAAAGTTGTCAAGTGACCATGAACTGTGTGAGAGGAAACAATGTGAGGTGTGCTTCAGGTGTCCTTAACTCACCATTGACCCCCAAAGCTAAAGGTCTCATGACATAAGGATTTCCACCCAACAGAAGTCAAACATCTGATCTTAAAGACAGAGTCACCCAGCCTGGGTTTCCAAACTTACTCTTTTTTGACTGTGCAGAATCAATGGGAACGTGCTCTAGGTGACCCTGTGTGAGCAGGGGGGTTGGACTCGATGACCTCTGAGGTSCCTTCCAACCTTCGACATTCTATGATTCTATGATTCTATGAAATCATTTCAGTTAACATATGAATTTTTACATTTTCTTCACTCACGTAGATAAGACCTAGAAGTGTAATTTCTAAACTCTCTTTTGCCTATTAGTCTTTTCAGACATTTTGATGCATTTCTTTACATTTTCAGACATTCATAAGATCTGTCTGCTCTGGATCCTCGGGAATGATGGTGCTTTATGATTTCAGTTCTGTTAGCTGCAGTGTCTTAGCAGGTCAAACCATCAGTCTCATTAAATTCCCGTGTTCCCTCAACACAGAAGGAATTCAGTAGAAAAGAAATAGAAACTGTAAAAAAAATGGCACATTTTGATCCAGTGGAATAGCTCTCTAATGCTGTACAGCTGTTGGAGGTGTAGTCATGTCAGTTGTGATTCCTTTTTTTTTAAAGCTATAAAAAAAACTTAACTAATGTTCAGTAAGGGCTGCAGAGGTATCTACAGAATTGAAACTGGGAAGCCATTAAGTATCCTTTCACAAAGAGCTTGAGGATCTCCTGTTGAAATGAGTTAAGCAGTAATAACCACAAGGCAAAGAAAATCAGCCTGTAAGCTAGAGCATCAGGAATGGAAACCTAGTGACTGACTCCTCCCTGTTCCACTGCCTTGTTTCACAATCTCTGCTTTTTGATGAAAATTTCTTGTGGGTTGCAATGGGCAGCCATCTCCTCTGGATGTTCTGAAAATGGGCAGGTGGACTGGGCTTGCTCTCTCTTCATTTTTATTTTCTTGTTTCTCTCTCTTTCTTCTCTTTCCTACTTCTGTTCTCCTCAGGTTCATAGCTGTTCAGCTGCTTGAACTGCCTCCTAAGCACAGTTTTGGCAACATCGCTGCTTTTGGCCACTGAGGTGCCTATTGACTTTGACTACACTTGGTGTTCCCCTAATTTTCACTCCGAGGCTACTAAGTTTTCCTTCATGCTTCCAGCCTTGATGGCTCACAATAATATGAGCCCCAAAGACATTCCTCTGTATTTCTTATCACTGTCTTGTTTTCCTGAAGCCGTGAGAATAAAGAACTTTTCCATAGATAAATGTCCTTCTTAATCAATGTCTTCTGAATGACAGGAGAGCTGCAGTTGTTTTTTTTCTATTTATCTCCAAACTGTCAGTGACTTTGTGTTGCTCCTTGTTATCCAATTAACAAAATGGTTTATGACATTCATATTCTGCTCCCTTCTTGGAATACTTCATATGGTTATTTAAATCTCTTCCCTGCTGCTTCCTTGCTGYTTCATTATTTTTGAGACATTGTTCAATTAAAGACCATCTAGGGAGAAAGAAAACTTTTTCACTGATTCTGTCTTAGAAATTCAGGTGCTCAAGATTTTTCTTATTTGTTTCTTTTATATTTAATGAGATCTTAGTAGGTAGCTTTTTTGGAACCTTAACTGTAGACTCATACATGCTTTTTCTCTCATTTGATCTTTTTGGGGTTTATGGCTTCAGGAACAGAATGGCTGTGGAAAATTAAATCCCCAATTATGAAAAAGGCAACTTTCAGCTGCGGGGATTTATTTGCTCCATTTTTACAAGCTGTTTTGTTATTTTTGTTTGCCCAAAGAAAATACTGAGATATTTTGTCAATTGTGTGTGTATATGGAGCAAAGTCTGTTTCATTTAAAAACTGCCTTGCATCAAAATAACATTCTCCTAGGCAGTTTTCTTCCAAATCAGGTTGTGATGTTAGGGATACTCTTTAACTATGGTTGTTTGCTTTGAAGGCRCAAACTTGAAGTTGAAAGTCACTTAAGTTTTTTTTTTTTTAAATCTTGTCATAAAATGCAACTAAGTGATGTCACTGTTCCATTGGCTGGATTTTTTTTTCATGCTAAAATAAGTAGTGCTTATCTTCCCTAACTTTATGTCAACAAGCAAGGAGCTTAGGCTGGAAAAGAGAAGCTGCCCTATAATTTTATATTAGTTGATACAATTGGTTGATATTAGTTGATACAATTTCATAATAGACCACCATGGGAAAAAGTAAACCCCAAATACATGTTTTACAACAACATGTGGGTAGAATTAAAACAAAATTTTCTTTACTTTGAATAGTTTTGTTTTTGCAGAGTCATAAAAATGTTGAAAAAATAAAATACTGCTTTTTAATTTCAATGCACTAATCACAGAATCACAGAATGGTTGAGGTTGGAAGGCACCTCTAGAGATCATCTAGTCCAACCCTCCTGCTCCAGCAGGGACACCCAGAGCACGGGGCACAGGGCGGCATCCAGGTGGGTTTGGAAGACCTCCAGAGAAGGAGACTCCACAGCCTCCCTGAGCAGCCTGTGCCAGGGCTCTGTCACCCTCACAGGAAAGAAGTTCCTCCTCACCTGGAGATGGAACTGCCYATGTTTCAACTTATACCTATTGCCCCTTGTCCTGTCACTGGACCCCACTGAGAAGAGCTTGGCCCCTTCCTCCCTACATTCATCCTTCATGTATTATTCATATTAATCAGACCCCCTCTCAGCCTTCTTTTCTCCAGAGAACACAGGCCCAACTCACTCAGTCTCTCCTCATGAGCTAGATGTAATCCCCTAATGCATTCCCCTGAATTCTTGTTGTGGGGTGTATTCATTTCCTTGCTTTTATGTAATTGATATTGACATGAGGTAATGAAGTGCACAATCTAGCTGAAGCTGCTTAGAGTCTTTCAGGATGAATAATAGTTGAAAACCAGAAATTTTGATAATTACTAATGGGCGAAGGTGTAGATGAATAATACGTTCTTTTAAGTGACTCTTAAAATTCAGATAGCACAAAGCTTTAGTGATGACAAATGAAAGAAAAACATATTCTAAGTCTTTTAAAATTAAGAGAATTCAGTCAAGGCGTTTTTTCTTTGTTTTCACTTGCCCAGCCATTCCCTTAGGAATTATAGTTGTACGAGGAGATTGTGACTTGGAGACTTGTCGTATGTACATTGACCGTCTACAAGAGGTGAGTTTTTGTGAATTCAGATATCATTTGTTAATMCTTGTTATGCTTTTGCAAGTCGAAGTGTAGAGTTCAAATAGTTATTGAGTATTGTAATTTGTCTACCTCTGAAAACAAARCTTTGCAGTGAAGTATGATACAGTAATGAAAGTAGAAGTAGAACCAAAGAATATTTGCTAGGTAGGAAACAAGAAGTCATGCTGAATTCATTTTAAATGATAAGAAATTTGACATAGATGGATGTGTTTACATATTCTTTAATTTGAACAGCATGTCAACATTCTCCATAAGCCTTGCTACTTGCTATTATACAAATTTCTAAGCAAAATAGTGATTAGAAAGTCTGTTATGTGCGGATAAACATTGTAGTGCTGGAGTGAGTCATATTTATGCAAATGGCCTTCAATAAAACTGTCATGGAGTAACCTGATATTCCAGTAAGCATGACAAGTATAAACTGGATATTTCCAAAAGCGTRTACTCAAGCAGGTAATAGCAATTTAACCTTTTATGGATATCTTTCAGCAATATTTACAAATGTGAGTATATTACATAGGTTTCTGTGGCTCATTTTAGTCAAGAGCAAAAAGCATCATCCATTGCTTTAAACTTTAAGTTAGCTACTACTTTCCTGTGATTTGGAAACTCTGTCACTTACAGCCTGAATGTAGGCCTTAGTATTTGACTAAAGGCTTTTGTGTTTTTGCATTTCAGCCAGGACTCCCTTCATCAAATTAATTTCTGAGCATTCAAACCCAATATGTGGGTACTATCAGATAGAATTTCATATTGTAAAGTGACATATATTTGAGGCACTTGGCTATAGAAATTTACAAAGAACAAATTTGAATGATGTTCTCAGCAGGTTACAGATATGGGCTCAGATGAGTACAAAGAGTTKAATGCTATTAATATAGGGTGGAGAATAGTTGTACAGTAGCACCCTAGGAGAAGCAGAGTTTAGTTGCCTTTGGGGAAACTTTTTTTTTTGGCAGCTTTTTATAGGATCTGTTCTACTTACTTTGCTTGATTTGGCTTAGATGCACTTGCTGGGAATGGAGACGCCAAGGCTTTCTGCACTCTGCCTGCTTGCATGCCAGCTGGTGAACTATTTTCTGCTACCAAGGCTTTTTGATAGGCTCTGGCATGATCTACAGCTATCTAACAAAATGTCTATTAAAATTAACTAGATAACCTGTTAAAATATGATCTTTTTGGCATGCGTTTTCTCTTTTAACGTGTGTTGGCCTTGAAACAGGGAGAACTATCATTGATCTTGAATTTATGAATTTCTCAGAAATATTTACCAAAAAGATTGATGCTTTTTTAGCTTCTTTGTTATCACTTTGTTGCTAGATTTTTTTTTTTTTTTTTTTTTTTTAATGAAACAAACAAATCCCTGATATGGAAAAATCCATTAACATAAACTCCTAAGTTTTAAAAACTGTGCAGTCTTTTGGACCAAGTACTTGGAAGGCTAAACTTTAAGTAAGCTTAACATGAGAGGAGTGTTCATTTAATATACTTTAAAACACCAAGAAATAATTGAAAAAATATTTTTTGTGCTTACCTGTCTGCCTTGCATAGTAAAAGTGCAAACTGTTCTTATCGCTTTGARTTTTTTTGATCATTGACATGTCTTTCATTCTCCTACTAGGACCTACAGTCAGTAACTTCTACCACACCGAGAGTTCATTACCAGGTGAGAAWAATTTTCCTTTTAGTAAGTGCTGAATGAAGACAGGCTTAACAATATGGAGTCCTGCAGTCTTTGTGTTTGGAGTCAAACTGTTAGCATACATATTAGTTAAATTTCTGGTTATCATTCACGCTATGAATGATATGTTGGAGATTCCTTCTGATTACCCTGGGACAGTCCTTTTCATTGCAAACCGTATAGAGTAGTCTGTCATCAGGGCGCTATGATATAAGCAGTATTACAGCAGTAATGTCTTAAAAGTGGATGAAAAACTTGTCCTGCAGGTGTTGATAGCCTCTTTCTAGACTTATCAACTCAAATCTTTTTGGAATTAGCAGGAGTGAATTTGCTGAAAAAACTGAGAGATCCAGCTGATAGGCACTCGTGCTGAAATTGTGAATCATTTCTTGAGTCCTAGTGATTGCCTGGGTGATGCAGGGTTTCAATTTGACAAGATATCCTGTAAATGCCATGAAACCAGCAAGATACTAAGAAGAAATACAAATTTGTCATATATTTCTGAAATTATCTTCTTCATATCAGTCCTTGTATGTTTGTTTTTCCCTGTCCAATTTTAATCTCCTACTCTGAAATTTGTATCTATCATAGCCCTGGAAKTGAGCTTTAGAGCCATGTAAGTGTCTAGTGAATTGACTAATAAAACAGCATGCATTATTCCATTCCGCTTRTTGTAAATTAACCTAAGTGACTGCTGACTGCTTCATGCATAGGAAACTGCCTGAGGTAAAATGAGAAACTAAATCTGTATATGTGGGGCGGGCCAAAAGAGGGTAGGAAAAAGTCAGAAATCATCCTTTACTTGGCTCTCCACAGTTATAGCAGTATTTAAATTAATTGCCTCGCTGTCTCCTCTAGAGCGTATCAGTGTGAAATCTCTAGCATACTGTCAATATTTTATGTTGTTCAGTTTGGAATGCACCCTCCTCTGTGTTTTGCCTTCAGTAGTTGTTTTTTCCTAGATTATTCAAACGGTGGTGTAATCTCAGTGGATTGTTTCTATAGACCGTCTTGTTAGGTTAATTTGAAGACTGTTCCATGTTTCTTGACATCCCACTAGAAATTACAGAAAGGAAAAAAAATACAAGGCGGGTAAAGGCCATTAATAAAGTGCTTGAGTTGATGGAAGAGTCTTATCTCACTAATAAGGTGTCATGGGTACTTTTTAGATCTCATAAACACACTTCTCTTGCCTCATTGCTTTGCAGCTCAAAACAGGGAGCATCAGCAGAAACAGTATCAGCAAGCCCAGGTGCAAATTAGAAAAATGATACTAGAGTTGTTTTTCATTCTGTTTTGTTTCTCTAAGAAGTTTAATGGATATAGTGTCATGCTTGTGGGACTGAGACTTCCTAAGCTAGTTCTGCTGTTGAAATGCAGTGGAATCTTGACAGAAGCCTATTGCTCTTTGGGATTTGGGTTTACAAGAATTATCCCTCTCTMCATTTTCAAAGCATTCTGTCCTCTTTTAGGTTTAAGATTTTTTCTCATATTATCTCCTCTTTGTGCCACCTGCCATGTTAGTATACACCATTAACTTCGGTTGTTTTATTCGTCTTGTCTTCCGCATCCTAGTCCTCACCTTTCCTGTAGCGGTGGGCTAAATAGCCAGCTGCGTAAAGCTTTGTGCATAGACTTACAAATTAGCAAGTCCACTGGATTTCAGAAAGCCCTTGATTCTGTCACCTCAGCTGCCACACAAATACACGTAAGCATCCCATGACTCCATAAACTCACATTAGAGGAAGATGAGTTTGACTATTTTTTCCCCCCTCAATATTTASGAGGCAGTAGAAGACCAAAGCTGACTCAGGACTAGAGATACAAAGTTCTAGGCATTTTGTGTCCTGTGTATTTCAAGTCTGATGCTTGAACCACTGAGATAGGTTATTTGGCCCCTTTGAGCAAAAATATTTTACTTTATGACATTTCATGTTGACTCTCTTTTAATTCTCTTGTAATGCACAGAGGTTAAAGACAAAACTTGTACATGACTGTGAGATTTATGGGCTCAATTAGAAGCCTCATTGCCTAAATATGGGAGAGAATTAAGGCTGTTTTATTTTTCTGGGGGTGGTTATAGATGCCATCACCTATCTGAAGATTTTTTCAGTCAAGCAAAGTTTGCGACTTGCTCCAGTAACATTTCACACAAGATCTGTTGCCAGGACTATGGCAAAGTACCAGATTCAAAAGCATGGTATGATTTGTCTGAAGCAGTCTTTACTTTTCCATTCTGGGCARCCAGAGAGAAAAGCCAACAATAGTTGGTTCTAGTCAAGCTCAGAGGCAGAAGCTAGTAAGATGAACCTTGCAAAAGCTGGCATGATACCAGATAAAGATGTTATCAACTCATAGCAGCACCATGCCAGGCACTAAYATGCATTTACCTGGCTGAGAAATGAGGTGGTTCATCAAAATATGAAACACTGATAATCATCATATCTGGTTGTCAACAATGTCTAGCACATGGAGGCATCTTGCTGATCAGTAATGAAGGGAAGCCAAAAATTKTGTGTATATGTACAATACAAGCATGACCTCATTTTTTTACCGAGGGCTAAGAAAGTGTCAGATACCTCTTTGTCAATCAAAGAGCAATGTGTACTSTCTCTTGACATATGAAGACATTATTTTGTCTGTAATCAATCTGGAAATTGTTTTCTCCAGTCAGACCAAAATGACAACTTCCTTCAGCATGTGCAGAGATTTTCCCCAGGTTGAAGAAAGCGGCCTACTTCTCCACACTCTTACTGACTCATGTCTGGGCAGCCTGGGGAGGTGAACAGATGAAACACCAATTTTTCTGTGGATACATTCTTTATTTTTTTTCCTAACTTTTTCTGACACATGGCTATTCAGATAAGAAATGATTTGGACATATGTCAGACTTGCAAAATAGCAAGACAAATTCCTGGGAAGTAACTTAATATTTCTAGGTTTCTTTAATGTTGAAATGTTGCAGTAAAAGCAGAGAAAAAAAGATAAAAAAGAGCAAACTTTGTATTGTCTACATGAGAAGACTTTCTGAAAGGTCTTCTCTTGTTTAGGCTGAAGTGGTGACTTGGATGCAAGAGCTGCTGGCTAGATTTCCATGTTATGTTAGTGGTTAACAGTCATAGCCCTSTTATCCCTTCTAGCTAGACATTATTTGATGTCTCGGTGCTGGAACTTTAGACAAAAAAACACGTGATGCAGCTGAACAGCTCCCAATATAAAAATTGTTTGTCCTGGATACTGAAATCAGGGAAGGTGCCAGACTGTTGTGTAATGTTCTGACAAGTCCCAGTGAGAAAACATTGTATCCTGGTCCATTTTCACCACTCTATGTTCATATTATAAATATATGTGCATTAGACACATTATAAATATATGTTCAGTATACATTATTCATATCTTCTGCTTTCCATGAGAGCAATACTTTCTGCAGAGGTACATGCCCTTCTTATTGCTTCTGCTTTTTGCTTTCTTGTCTATGCTTTGGTCCACCATCCACAGTGTGGTAGTTTAAGGAGGAGCTAAGTGTTGATAAAGCATTATTCTTGAGCCAGTATGTGAGCACATTGATGRTCTTTGCAGGCCTGCTGATTTTACTGCTTACAGTTTATATAAGGGTAGAATCTAGCTCTCTAGAAATTTGGRTGGATGCTCAGGAGACACTCATGTTGCGTTTTGCCTTGGGCAAATCAATTTTGGTTTAAACATTGTGTTCCTGTGGCATGAAGAAAGTTGAGTGACCACCCACTGGCATCATGGCACAGAGCCATGTCCGCCCTCTGCTTTTTGACATTTTGCCCCTCCAGTCCAATGAGAGCTGAAAAAACAAGGGGCATTCTGTTTGACTCTGTGTTGCTTACAAGGGATGAAGGTGACCTTCAATTCCCCCAGTCATTTGGGTCAGCCGTTGAAGTAAAGTTCTCTGGCTCCTGAGGAGCAACCTCGTTGGCCAGACTGGGAACAGCATGACTGCTTGACTGGATGGTGGTGGTCCTGGATGGTTTATGCTTAGGTGCATTTGGCATGCACCAGGCTCAGACAAAGTGGGCTGCTGCTCTGAGTGGTGGATTGTTAGAACTCTAAAACTTTGTAAAAATACTGAAGCTAAATGAAAGTGTCAGAGGCAAACATCATAATTACAGTTTATGGAACTTGTAAGTTCCTGCTTTCATCTCTCTCTGTTTCTCTGTCTCCACAAATAAGGGTGACAGTAGACAAATATAAAAGTTGTTTTTGATGCAAAGCTTTTTGGTATGGCTGAGCTGAAGGAAAGAGCCAAGGATGTGTCTGAAGCTAACTATGTCAGGTTTACTGTCTTCTATATTACAGTGAAACTCTGAAGTCAATGAAGAACAATGCAGCAGTTTTATGTAGATTTTACACATTGTGCAATGCCAGCAAAGAAAAATAGAAAAATTAAACAATGAGAAATAGCCCATTTTATGCTCCCTTCCTTCCTTTCCCTCYCCATTCCAAAAAGTGATTTTTTCTAAGGGGAGGTTTTTTAAATGTCATTTTTTGATCCATCCAGGACCAAGAAAGCTCTTTCCCTAGAGTACTTTCTGTTCAGAGGCTCTCTCCTAGATGGTGCTTCCTAGATGGTAAGTGCATCTTCCTTCTATTTTGCCTATGTTTTTTGCCTATTTGCAGAAGGATAGCATATCCAAGAATATTGAATACGAAAAGGTAACCATTGCTTCTTGTTGTACTGAGCAGGCGCCAAAACAAAACAAAAAAAAAACCACCAAAGAAGGAGGAGATGCTCTCTTTTCTCCTCTGAAAAATGAATCAGGGCCTTCAACTAGCATTTAAAATGTCTGCTATAGTGTTATGGCCTTAGGAGACACGTTCTTCCAAAAGTCACTACAAATTTGGATCAAATACTATTTGACTCATATCTTAAATAATACTGTGTTTGGGTGATGAACATATYTGCCTCTTTCCTTGAAAAATTGCACTTCCTGTAACTTTCTGGAGAGCTGCGCTTCAAACTTTGTCAAAGCAGACAACTTATTTGGACATTGCATCAAGCTCCAGAGTGTTGAAATGACTGACTGAAATGGATGGCATCTGCAAAGGCTGAAGCATATGAAGACTGAATATTATTCTAAACTAAAATAATTTATGCTTGCCAGTTTCTAACTACTCTTCCTTTTCTCTCATGAATGAAATTGATATGTGTTGAGGATCTGTGTATATTTTGGAGAGTCCTAAATGGGTAGATTCATTTAATTTTTATGTCATGAGCGATGCAGTGTTGCGTTGCAGTGCCAAAAACCACAGTGTCACATCACTGTACTGCTGGAGTGAATAAATCTGTGATTTCACTGGCCAAACTAAATATCAAACAGAAACTATATAAATAAATAAATTCCACCTGATATAGCATATTGTAAGTCATAAAATACTTATGGTTTTAGTGGTGTAAATTACTTCACAGTGACAAGATTCATAATAAGTACCTTACTAGTGAATCACCTGTCTTTGAGTAGAATAAATTTTCCTTGAATGTATTTTAAATTTGGAATAAATTGCAATTCATTCATGTGGCTATATGTGGGCCAGGAGTTTGATTTACAAGGAGTTCCCAAGCAATTTATCTGTCTTTAGATTCAAAAATTGAATTAACCCTATCGGACCCATCAATTTTAGGGTGCACTGGTTGTACTCTCATTGGAAGAATGCAGACCTTTCTGTTACAGTCTTTTAATGTAATAACATCTTATTGTAAGTATTCTTATGTGGAGAATCTAGTATTCATGTTCTTGGAGTATTTATTTCAAGTTAATAATTGCAGTTAACATGATTTTGTTAAACCTCAACTTTAGGGTAACCATCTAAAGGGATAGGATTATGGAGATGAGGAATAATATTCTGTTGTTATGGAACTGATGAGGCTTAACTGACACCAAAGTTGTGTTACAGGGCGCTGATGTTAGCTCRGCCTGCCTCGTTCATTCAGTTCTGCCCAGGCCAGTTTCCTTACCGCTCTGTTGTTTCCTTTTATTGCAGCAACTTCTGCTGATCGTTTTTACCGCATTGACAGATCTCAGGTAAATCTCGACCCTGTTTCTGTGGATATTTTTTAAAGCTATGCCAGATGCAGCTTAAAATGACTTATCTTCCACTCTTCACATGGATTATAAATTTCTGTTGCTGTTTTGTGAAAAGTGAAGAAATATTCTGGGCCAATTTCGTTTGGTGTAATTCATTGTTTCACTGGACTCACTGAAGATTCATTTCTTCTGGTCATCTGCCCTTTTATTAGCACTCTGATGTAGAAATTATAATTTGCTAGGTTTCTTATCATATCTTTCTAAGGACATCTGCATGACAGGAGGATCCTTGAGTTTGTTTTCACTGCTGCTTTTAGCTCRCCTGAAATCCAAATTGTGTCTGCCACACAATAGCTATGGAAATTAATCTGATGTGACAAATGGAGAGTTTTGATCAGAACTTCATCAAATATTCCAAGGAACCCATAAASCATGTGTGGGTTTATTGGACTCAGACTTATGGTATAGGTTTGATGGTCTGAGTGTGTTTTCTGTAAGGCAATATGAAAATTTTACAGAGCTTTTGGTGTTCCTATTTTGTAGCCAGAACAGGTCAGTTAATGGCTCAGCAGTAAGTGTTAACTGATGCTTTCACAAATTGGTCATCTGTATCCTGTCCCCCTGAGAATTATAGAAGCTGTTTCTGAATTTTGTGAGCATATGACTTTTCCTAGCAAAAGCAGCTGGTTGTTTACTTCAAGTAGAAGTAGCCATGGCTTTAGAGTGGAGCTCCCAGGTTCAGTGTAGCCTCCCAAGGGGCTTCTAAGCAAACAACCATGTAGTTATTTTGATGAAATTGTACTTCAGCATTTGGAGAGCAAGAATGATAAACTCCTACAGGTTAAACTGGGGGATGTGATTTTATTTGCCTTACTCTGCACTGCCGTAATTCTGACTCTGTTCAAATTGTCTTTTCCTTCTACTCCTTTGCTATCTGTCTCTGTGGAGAAGAAAACAATGCTGTGTGATGGTCCCAGTGAATGGAGCAGGGGAGGTTTCCTGTCCACTCACCTAMTTATAGAGGCCTACTTGTACTGAATGCTTTTTTAAAGGGCAAGGAGACTTTTATGTCTTAGATTAAGAAAAGGAATACCAAAAAAGGTGTTGAGAGGTGAGCTTTGAAGCAAGGAGAAAAGAGAGTATGATAGTGGAGTTGCAGAACCACAATGTACAAACCATTGAGGGTTGGAAAAGAATCCCCAAGGATGAAAATTTCTATTAGCCATCAGCTGAGGATAGACCTGATGCACTAGTCCTCAGCTGGGAACACAAGCCTCAGCTATTCTGGAAGGCCTGTAGTTCTCAGGTGAATGGTGTTGATAGGAGAGGGTGGCCAAATAGTAGCTTTTCAACATTGCTGAGGTTATGATGCTTGCTGTGGGGAAAATCTTGTTTTCACTGAAATTAGTAATGTCCTTGTCAGTGACTTCAGTGAGACAGGTATTATTAGGTGTATATGTGTACGTAAATATACAGGCAAAGTGTATGATTGAATGCTTGTCAGACAGGCTCATCTTTTATAGCTTCTGAGAAACCAGTGATGCTGCAGGTTCATTATTCGCTCCTTATATCRCTTCAACAGGAACATTTGCACTTTGTGACAGAAATTTCGCAGGACGAGATTTTTATTCTGGACCCAGAGCTGATAATGTCACAGCAGGTGGGGACACCACCAGGAATGCCTGATCTGGTAGTGGAGCAGGCCTCTGGGTGAGTGTTGCTGGGATATGGCCTTCAGCAGCCCTGTTAGAGTTGTCTGTTTCTTTTCCTGAACTCTAAAGGATGGGGAGATGTATCAAAGGGCAGATGTGAATTAGGTATGTGGGGAAAGGATCAGATGCAGCCACAGCAATGAGAGAAGGGCAGTGGAATAATATCTGCTCCATCCTGCCTCCTGGAGTTAGCAACTGGACTGAGAAGGTGTACTGAACACCTTTCAGCCTCCTTACACACAGTAAGTCTGTCTCTGGCATAAACTTATGTCAATCAATGAAACTCCCCTTCTCTGCACAGTCAAGGCTGTGACATCAGTGTCTGAAGCCCTGAAACTCCCTGTGCCATGAGAATGACAGTGAAGTGTTTCTGTTTCTCCTCGTCCTCTCAGCAGACCAGAAACACTCCTATTCACCTTTATGAACAACCCCATACTCAGTCCATTAAGCTAATTTACCTCACTGTAGGCTGAAAAATACTGGGAACAAACAAGCTTAAGAAATCTTTAAACTGCAGCTCAAGAGGTAATTTCTGAGGGCTGAATTCCTTTCTCTTCCTTTTACCTTCCTTAGAATATCAGATCGGTGGAACCCTGCAGTTCGAAAGAGGATGCTGAGCGATAGTGGCCTTGGCAAGATTTCCCCACACTACGAGGTACCTGACAAACAAAAGGACGCCAGCCAGACACACATGCTGCAGTAAGAGCCCTCTGCGTTTCTCTGCTTGATGCTGCACTATCACCATCACCACAGACAGCTCTTAGTGGCTCCCTTAAGCTAAAAAATTATGTTGACATAATGAGCTATACAGATGTCCTATTGCTACTTGTGTTTTGCACCTCCCTTTTATTTCATCCTCCTTCTCTGTTAGTGTGTATTCTTGCCTTTTCTTTTTCTCTGCATAACCCAATACTCTTAAAATGTAGATCCAGGTTTCAAAAAGTAAATAAATTATTTTGGATGCCTCCTGTTCCAGTTAAAGGATCAAATTACTAATTCTTAAGGTAGTTCAGCTTCTATGCTCAAAAGCAGAAACTACTATAATCGTCACTACTACTATGTTTTCAGAAACATAGGCGATAATGTGGATGTTATCTTGAGCCAGTGACTCCATTTTAGAAGATGACCAACTAAATAACTGTTTTGCTGCTGTCATTCTCTAATGTAAGAAATTTGCAGTACTGCAGTCCTGGTTGCTATGTTCAGGTTTGTGCAAGAGCATCCCTTATTTGCCTGGTCTTTTTCAGAAGTGGTACTCAGCTTTCTCGTCCTTTTGGATGAGATTTTCAAAGTTAGCAGTAGATCCATAATCACTACTCAAGTTTGGATTTTCTGAACTTTGTTTTTGGCTTTAATTACTTCTAGTGATATTTTTTTTCACCCAGTACACGACTTATTCTTGTACATTGCTTCTCTGTATAGTTCAAATTCTGCTGTATCTGGATGGACAGCAGAACCACAGAAAAGTTTAAAAGGCTTTATCTAAAAAAATTAAAACTAGGGCTTTCTTGATTTAGTTAGGCCTTCTGTCTCAGATGTGTATTGAATGGATTTGCCTGACAATTAGTACTCCAGGAAAAATGCACTGTGGACAGGAGGCTGTATTGCTGCACAGTTGGTGATTGATGGAAAAAGGATACAGCAAACTGGAAACTGTTGAGATGAGAAGGAAGTGTTGTGGTTGGGAAAGGTAGTATAGCATCTCTGTAGCACTGCCTGGAAATGGACATCTGGTGTTCTCTGTTAGTCTGAATGGTTCTGGATGAGTTCTTGTTTCTGTTCTTTTCCACAATGCTAAAGATAGTGAAGAGATCTGAGATGCAGTTATCAACAGACTAGAATCAAAAAGCTCTAAATTTTGAGCATGAAGAACGAAAAGTCATATGTAAACATTTTTAGGTTATGTGGAGATATGGTAACAGCATGTGAACTAGCCCGTATCTAATAGGGATGATTTTGTTTACCAGGATGTAACTGGAAGTGGTTGTTTAGCTGAAACAATTAAGTTATCTATTAGGTTTATCAATTACAGGCAAAGTCAGTAGGACTGCCATTGTCTACTCTAAGGCACTGCTTCATTTGTAGCCTCTCTAAAATTGAATGGTTTTGCTAGTTTTTTCATGATAATACACAGTCTTTGGTTGATTCTTTTTCATTTAGTTAAAACTTTTGCAAAAAGGTCAGTTGTTTCAGAGCTTCAGGAAAAAATATTCCTTTAGAAACAAAGAAGGAACAAAGGCAAAACTTCGTTACATGAGAAGCTTTAGTGCTGTTAGTGCACTGCAAAGAAGTTTTTGAGTTCATTTAATAGAGTGACATTCTAACACCATGGAAATACCCTTTGCTGTCTTGAGAAAAATGCCTCTGACTTTGCCCTAGATTTGAGGCTGTTCRTGCACACTGGAGAAATCTTAGATTCAAAATCTCATTCTTCATCTTTCAAAAAAGARATGGCAATGACCCTCCCTGGATATTAAGAGCAAATTAGATCACAGCTTGTCATGGGCTTCTTGCAGTGTCTCTGCCATCACAATATGAATATGTCCTGTTTAAGATGAAGTAGTGCTTTCTAAGAAGAGAGGAGAGTAGTTGAAATAAGAAGTGTGCAAGYAGTTACCTTAAGTGACTTTAGTCAGTGAAAGCGGAGAAGAGGATATGTGATCTAAAAAACAATTAGGATGTTTGATATTGCTTTGGATCACTGGCTGTTGAGGTAAAGAGAAATTTGATTTTAATGGTTTTGAGGAAGGGGGTCTTTTTGGAAAAAAAAATCATTAACCTTCTGTTTTTAATTAGGAGAGTTTTATGTTAATTAATTTTCAGGTTGCATCTGATTAATTTCATGTTTTCCTCCATCCTCTTTCCCTTTCTGCTTGCTCTTTGGCATGTGACTAATGTGAGGAGTGGGAAGGATGTGAGACCTGAAATCCTGATGCAGTAACCAGGCGCTGGGCCAGGTCATAGCTTAATAGGAACATCAAATCAGTGTGAAAGGTGCATCCAAAGAACCAACAGGGAGACAATTACTCGGATGCTTGATCTTGAAAATAGCTAGGAATTCTGGCTGGACTCCACTGAAACAGATGATTAGACTTTTAGCTTTGAGCGTGGAGGGGGTTCATCATCCTGTCATATCCCATGGTCAGGTGGTGGTGGTAGTGAGGTGTTGGTGACCACTACCTTACAGCCTGTCGCAAGCATTCATTGTTGGCCACATATTTCTCTTCCTAGTTTTGTGTTTAAAGCAAGCAAATATTTTGAAATGATTGTAGCAAATGGATGAGCAATTGTTCTGAGAGAAAGCAGGTTCCCAGAGAGAGACTGAGAAAAAATGATGCATCTCAGTGTGGGGTCTGGCCATGCATTTTAAAATCTCTCACTATTGTCAACAAGATGCAGTCACAATATTTAAAATCTTGTATAAATTTCAGGTGGAAGCTACAATTTATCCAACAGTAGAAAAGCTTTTCTTCAGGTATTGCTGTAAATCTTCCTATATCCCCATCCCTGGAGACTTTCTTGACMAAGGTGGTACCTGTTAATTGTTCTATACTCTTGTGCCCAGGTGTGGTAAATAATCGCTTTTACGCATTTTATGTTTTTAGTGTGGATATTAAGTCTCTCCATACAAATCAAGACTTTATTTTACCTTCTTAATTGCTTTTGGGCATTTTTAGGAGAAAAATTGAGTAATTACTGTTTTTCTTTGCCACTCCATTTTAAAGACATACATTTGGTGTTCTGGGAAAAAAGGAAAAAAAAGTCCATCCTTTCTCATTCCTTTAAAAGCTTACAATGTAACAATAAAAATGTAACAGTATTTTGACATTCCTTGAATAATTTATTTTGAATTTTCATTTATTGCCATCCAGAAAAAAAAAATTACAATGTGACAAACAATAGCAAGACTCTAAAATAACAGTTGAATTTTGGCTGACAAAAAAGGAGGGTGTTGTGTTTTGTTTTGTTTTCTGTGTGATGCCTATGTTTTTTTTTAATTTAGACATTGCCAGAAGTATTTTGAATCTCTTATTTTCTTTGTATACTCATTTTAGGAAATAGATACTCAAAGAAAGGATAGTTATTTTGTGGTAGAGTCATTGAATATAAGAACAATCTGGAGACTGTASCACTGTGAATAGAAATACTTTCCAGTGTAAATCATTCTTTTTCCAGATTGACAGCAAAGAAAAATCTCACTCTGTGCCCTGTACTGTTTTGAATCTCTCTCTGTGCCCTGTTTTGCACTCTGTGTCCTGGCTCTTTTGCAGCCTGTGGGATCTCAAAAGTTTCTTTAAGGACAGCTGCTGCAAAAAACTGCTACTATTTGGTAGCTTATTTTAGTGTCCAGCTTTTATATGTTCTTTAAAGATATTTTCCTTTTGCTTCTGGTCTGCTTGTCTATCAACTCCAAGACCTGTTGTACACATAGGGGTCTCTTCAGATTTCTCGCTTGAGAATTTGATTCTGTTAGCTAGTATGAAATGGAGCAAACTAACTATGGACTATTTGAGCTTACCTGAGATGACTTACATAATTTACATGATCACTTTTGGTATATCCTGAGTATATCCCAAATACATCCCATAGATCCAAACTGATCCTCTGTGTCTGTGAGGATTTCAGAATCCAGAGGGGCTTTGTGTTCCTTCAGCTGTGCTGTTACTGTCTCAGGGATGATAGCACTGCACACATAAGTATCCTGACACYTTGAGGCAGGGAACACAGAAACAGGACTAGGGAAAATGTTACCACCTAAATTCTCTTTTATGTCAGGGAATGTGGTATGACTGTGTAGTGGTTCTATCTGTCAAACCTAAGAAACATTGACAAACGGTGAGAATAAGGTGATTCTRCAAATTGTTTAATATGAACTACTAGTAACTTCTGTTGTCTTTGGCGAGTGATTGGATTCATGGAAAACCTTCCTTATTCACTTGCTCTCCTGTTAATTAGTAGGGTTTTGATGCCACCARTGTTGAAGTCTGACCATATCAACAGAAAGCTGATATGTAGAAAGTTCAAGGCTTTTGATTTCTTACAATTTCTGCATCACTCATTAGCACTTGGCACATGCAGAGCCTAGACCCGTTATCCTGACAACTTGTTCCCAGTGATACTGAACTTGAAGAGGCGTCCTGTTCTCTGCTTAGTTAAATCTAGTGAGAAAAGGAAGAAATTAGAATTAGGTTTTGATTTGCATATGTGCAGCCTAATTTGCATATCCCAGTGCAATGCAAATAGTGTTTGTTTTCTTGCAGTATTAAGTCTTCAGCCCTTTGCTGTTGAGATGCTCAATTACTAAGGGATTTTAACAACAATAGGCACATGTAATGAGGTGGGTCTGTGTTTCTGACCATTCAGTATCTGATGGAAGTCGAGTACATCCTGTACTGCATCCTGTAGGATGTTTTCTTCTCATCAGTATTGTTACCAAATCATTTTATTATTCACAGTGAAGATCCCTGCAGTGGATTGGATGGGATTCTAGTTTCCTTTTTCCCCTACCTCTCCCWGTCCTCAGAATGAAGCCTCTTAATGATTTTTGTAGCATCTCAACACCTGATGCGCAGCTGAGGAAATTCACTCTGCTGACAAATTGCTTTGGCAGACTGTGACATGCAAAACACACCTACACACCGCGAGACTACAAATTGGCTTCTGTAGAGARGTCTTGCTTGTTGATTGGCATTCTGCTC